AGATGTCGTACAGCGCCTCGTTGTCGATGCAGTACGTCTCGTCCGTGTTCTCCACCAGCTGGTGCACCGACAGCGTGCAGTTGTACGGCTCCACCACCACGTCGGACACCTGCGGAACGAGCACCAGGTCGCTCGGGGCCTCGGACACGGCCTCGGACACGGCGCCGAGCGGGCGGACGGCGGCAGGCAAGCAGGCGCACCTTGGGTGATGGCACCACGCTGAAGGTCATCATGATCCTGTCGGGGTACTCCTCGCGGACCTTGGAGATGATGAGCGTCCCATGCCGGAGCCCGTGCCGCCTCCCAGGGAGTGCGTCAACTGGAAGCCCTGCAACGACCGCCTTGTTACCGTGAGCGCCCCTTCCCCGCCCTCGCCGACGTGGACGTCGCGGACACGTCGCGGACCTGCAGGCAGTCGCAGCCCTCGGCCTCCTTGCGCAGCACGTCCAGCACCGAGTCCACCAGCTCGGCGCCCTCGGTGTAGTGGCCCTTGGCCCAGTTGTTGCTGGCGCCGCTCTGGCCGAACACGAAGTTGTCCGGCCGGAAGATCTGGCCGAAGGGGCCCGAGCGCACGGCGTCCATGGTGCCGGGCTCCAGGTCCACGAGCACGGCGCGCGGCACGTACTTGCCGCCCGTCGCCTCGTTGTAGTACACGTTGATGCGCTCCAGCTGCAGGTCCGAGTCGCCGTGGTACGTGCCGGTGGGGTCGATGCCGTGCTCGTCCGAAATCACCTCCCAGAACTGCAAGGGCACGACCAGTTTTCTCGCTAGACAGGCTTTAAGAGACGTTGCACTTTTCATCCCTTGCTGCACCCTTTCTTATGCGAAGCAGGTTGTGCGTGCTGCCGGTGCGGCCGTCGGGCACGTTGGCGGCCCCGAGGGGCTCGACGCTAGCGCAGGCCAAGAAGTGCAAGCCCTCACTTACCTTGCCGCCGATCTGGTTGCCGCACTGGCCGGCCTGCAGGTGGCAGATCTCCCTCATGTTGTCGGTGTGGCGGGTCTACTGTAAGTCGTTGGCCGGATCTGCTAGTCTGCGCGTCGGCTAGGCTAGGCTGGTGCTACGCTGGCGTCGAGGCTGCACTCCCGGTGAAGCTTCGTTGCCGGGCTACAGGGCTACAGTCGCGGGGCTTATCCCCATCTCTGTCATGCCTCGTGCCATTGTAGGCAGACCCCCCACCTGCCCCCACCCTCATCCCCGAGGCCCCGACGGCCCCAAGCTCAGCGCGGCCTAGAGAGCGACCACTGTAGGCGCTCAATTTCGCAGGTCGCGGAAGCAAGCCACGCGCGACCCCGTCGTCGTGGGCTTCCGAGAGTCCGAGCTGCAGACAGCCCACACACGCACGCGCACACTCGCGCATGCCCGGCCCACACACTGCCTCGTTCCCACAGCCACAGACAAGCGAGCCGGGCCAAACGGGGTGCACGCTGCATACAGCCATTCGGGTTCCCTCTCCTCCCCACGCTAAGTGGCGCCTAAGCCACCGTAAGCGCTGAGGATCCTCGGGGCTCACGGCGCGTGTACGGTGTAGGGCGCGACGCGCTGCGCAGCGCCCGCCAGATTAAATAACAGCGGTTCAATTAATTTGGTGGGCAGGGCAGAAGCCCTTGTGATGGGCTGTGGAGATCGCTTAAATTCACAGACCAAAGGTTGTTCCAGAGAGCAGCATAAAGAGGTTTCTCTTCGCTTTCACCGCTCTTCAGGACCTTCTTCGGGATCCTACTCACTCTCAGGCGCTCATTTCAGGCCCTTCTAGCGTCGCTTCCTCCAGGAGCGTGCTGTGCCGCCCGACCCGGCCCTGCCCCGAGCAGCTGAGCTGTTAACAGCGTATTAGCGCGCCGTCCCGTGTGCCGTGCCGCGTGCCGTGCCACGCCTGTCTCTGCTGCAGCCGCCGTGTCGTGCTGTGCCCTGCCCTGCCCTGCCTGCCCTGCCGTGGCGTGCCGTGCCGTGCCGTGGCGGTCGGGGCGCATCATGGCGCGCTAACTCGCCAGTTTGTATGCATGCGACCCTGCATAATACATGATCGCTGTACTCTGGCGGCGTGCTCGGCGTGCTCGGAGCGCTCGGAGCGCTCCTGGAGCGGCATGGGCCACATGGGGGCGGCGAGCGCGAGGCGCTTGGGCCGCCAGGGCCGCCAGGGCCGCCAGGGCGGGGTGCGGGCGGGATTGCGAGCGGCACTTTGTGGCGAGGCCAGGGCACTACTAGTAGTTGGGGAGGAGGAAGTGGCGGTGGCGGCACGGCCATGGCACGGCCTCCCGCATCCGTCTTCCCCGCGCACGCCCCGCACGCCCTCTCTCTCTCTCTACCTCCCCCTCGCTCTCTTTCTCTCTTTTCCGACACAAACTACCCCTGGCAATCAGAGCGGTGTGGCTCCCCGGCAGGTTTACATGCGCGCCGGCAGGCCGGGTCCGCACAGCGTCGTCGCTCTGTCTCTCTCGCACCTGCCCCGGACCGCCCCAGGAGTACGAGTGCGAGAGAGAGAGGCGCAGAGCGACGAGAACGAAATGCGGAATCAGTCAGCAGGTCGGCAGGGGGCCCCGCGCGGGGTGCGTGGCAGGCGGGGGCCGCGCGCGGTAATCCTCGGACCCCCGGGGAGGCGATGACGCCCCTGACGGACGAGGGTGATCGCGGCGACACGGCTCCGTTTTTAATTGGCTGCCCACTCGCCGCACCTCGACGGCTCGACGGCGGCCTCATGTCCTCCCCACCGCCGTCACGGCCCTCCTGATGGCGTGCTGCGGAGCGCTGCGGGGCCAGGCCATTTACTCGGCAGTGATTGGCACCGGACGCCACCGGGCCGCCCTTATCAAAGCGACCACCCCGACGCTCTGTCTCTCTCGCACTCTTAGGTGACGCCCCGTGAGAGCGAGTGAGACGGTGACAGTGGCTCTCTTCGGAAGGACGGCTGGGAGGCAATTTTTGACCGCTCCACTCGAAATTCGCGGCGGCGGCCCCGGCCGCGCGGGGGCTGGCTAACGACCATCCCGAGGACGGCCAGGGCGCGGCCAAGGGCTGCGGGCCGAATCGTCGCTCTGTCTCTCTCGCACTCCTGGAGGAGGGCCCGTGGGTGCGAGAGAGACAGGGCGAGACTGGTTTGAATCGCTTCGCAGGACGGCCCCGCGGTATCTGGAGGGCCGGCCGAGTGACGCGGCGACGAGGCGACGCGGCGGACAGTGATGGAGTGACGCGGCGGAGGCGCGGCAGCTCGTTAAACGGGAGCCGCCCCGCCCCGCCCCGCCCCGCCCCCCCCGCCCCACCCCGCCCCGCCGCGCAACAGGACGCAGAGGCTTCGTTATACGAGCCCAAAACGCGGGGCAGGACGACGGCCAGGACGACGAGGGGCAGGCACTTTGTAAAGCACATCACCGAGGACACTTCCTCGACCAATCAGGGCCCTCCCCTCGCACCCCCCTTCTCTCCCCCCCTCTCTCTCTCTCTCTCTCTCTCTCTCTCTCTCTCTCTCTCTCTCTCTCTCTCTCTCTCTCTCTCTCTCTCTCCCTCTCTCCGACGCGTTACGTCACCTAGAGGGATGGAACCGCCACCGCGGCCACGGCGGCCACGGCCGGCGCGATGATGAGGCCGAGCGTTCCCGCGTCAAATATTCACGCGGGTCGTCGTCGCCCCCAAGCCCCGCCATGAGCAGCACAATGACAACGGCAATACTCCGGCACTTGCATCGCTACCCCGCGCACCCCCCCGCAACCCCACGCCGCCTCTGCGCGGACGGAAACTTACCTGAACTGTTGCGGGCTGGCGCAGTGGAGCGACACCCCACCGGGGAGCGCAAAGCGACGAGTTTACATCTGCAAGGGTTGATAAGGGGGAGGGGGAGGACATTGCTTAGGCGAAAGAGAGAGACAGGGAGGGAGAGGGAGAGAGAGTTTCCGAGCAGTACTGGGTGGTTATGAGACTCGCTCATTACGCCGAGGACAAGGAGAGACTTGGATCGGCCAATGGCGGCAGAGGCCCTGCGCGTCCCCTCCCCGCCCCGCCCCGCACTGCCCCGGCAGAGAAGTTTCCTCCCTTTTGTCGCCCTTTCCCGGTGCGCGACCGGAAGAACTGGCCAGGGACACTCGCTGCCAACGCAGATTCAGACTTAGTGCTTCCAATCTTGGAACAAGACCTTTCTAGCTGTAGGACCGTACTTCAGGTCCCGCTCTCGAGCTCTTGAACTGAAATAGAGCCAGGCTGTGGCGGCGCCGCGCAAACACGAGCGAAGCGCCGCAAGAGCGCGAAGCGCGCAAAGCGGCCTAATCAGGGCTTCCTCCTGCCTTCCCGCCGGCAGTGGCGCCACCACGGCACTTCCGGGAAGCATTCCCTCCGCGCGGCATCCCCACGGCATCGAGGCCCTGCGCGCCCTGCCGCCCCGCGTGTGCAAACACTGCCCCACTTGGCTTTCATTAGGACGAGCCGGGGAAAACGTTGAGGTGGGGCTCCGCCGTGCTCCGCCATGGCTCCGCGGCGCGGGGCTCTCAAATAGCGGCGGAGATGTCGGCCGCCCCCTCCCCCTCCCTCCCTGATAAGGAGCTCCGTTTGCCGTAAGCGCTGCGGTAATTGCCACCACTACACGCGCAGCGGCCATGGCGCAGCCTCGCGCAGCCCTGGGCCCGCTCCACGCCCCGCCCCCGCGCCACGCCCAAGCGGGACTTGGTCGCTGTGTCTCGCTCGCACCCCTACGGGACGCCCCGCGAGTGCGAGAGGGACGGCGCGACGAGAGGCCCCGTCCGCTCGGAATCAGCCCACGCAGGTCTAATCTGGTCGCTCGGCTCGGTTCCCGGAGACCGGAGGCAGCCGGAGGCAGCCGGAGGCGGCAGCGGCGTGCTTGGCCCACCTCCGCCTCACAAAGTCGCCCCTTTCGCCAGATAAACCGAGGTAAACGCGATGTAATTGTGACAGGCAGCCGCGGTAAAGACCGCCTTGGGCCGAGCGCCGAGGCGCCGAGCGTGAAGTGCACCGCGTCAAAGAGGGTCTTGGAGGACAAGCAAAAAGAAAAACGCGCAAAGGCTTTTCAAATTATTTTACTATTTTTATTCATTTCGGTTTATTTATAAGAGTTGTCAACATTCCTCGTGGTTTGTTTTGTTATTGACGATGACTGTCGATCTACTTGCTAGTTTGTAAAACAACAGGTACGGGCGGACAGGACGGAATGGTTACGTACTATTATTCTTCTACCATGCTTCGTTTTTTTTTTTTTCTCCAAGCGTTTGACCAATTTCTCAAATTTGAGACTGGTCGATTCTTGGAAATTGAAATACACAAAGTTCACAGTTAAAACAAAGAAATTTAAATACAACAGATACATTAACAACTAAAAATTATCTTTTCTTTTTGAACATCACAACTTTTTTGTTTCATCTCGATCATCTCTGGCACAAGCATCTCAAACATGGAAAGGTGCTTCACTAACAAGTGGTTACTCCAAGCGCGTGTGAGCAGCTCAACAAAGTCAAGTGAAGTTACAAAATGGGATCCAACGGGCCACGCGGCCCGTCAGACCCAGCCTCCCTTTTAAGCTCGGGGTTTAGTTCGCCTCCAGCGGCTTAACTGTCTTGTGAGATTCTATTGAGATTCACCGTGAGACTCGGTGCGACAGAGACAGCCGGTCGACCGCGGCAGCACAGCGGACACAAACAAGTTCAGTCTTTACTCGTTCTATCATCGCGCGATAGACGGCGCGGCAGCCTCGCGAACAAAATGACACAAACCCCGCTCGATCGAACAGCGGGGTCTCTCTTGGCGCGACGACGCGCTGGCCTCTTCTACCACACTTGGCACTTGTGGGCGGGGTTCATGGGGCTGCCCACGGGGCAGTTGAAGTCCCTGGCGAAGTCCTCCTGGTTGGACATGGGGCCGCGGACGCGGAACTCGCCCGGTGAGTGGTACCTGCGGACAGAGAGGGAAGGCCATGGTCAGTCTCTTGTCAGGCGGCACACTGATTGGTCGCTCCGTCTCGCTCGCACTCAAGGGGAAGTCCCGCGGGGTACCGCGAGGTACCGCAGGGGTGCGAGAGAGGAGAGCGACGAATCAACCGGTGCGACCAGCGAGGAGGCCGGGGAAGTCTCCCGGCGACGGCAGCCAACGGCAGCGCGCTCTGTCGGCGGAGCGGCGCGGTGCGGCGATACCCCGCGCGACGCGGCGTCGCCACGGGCCGGGAGTAGAGACGAAGTTGCAAGAGTTCGAGTCCAACTCACCCCGTAGTGATGCGGACGCGCAGCGCCTCCGGCCGGTACTTGGAGCACCAGCTGCTGGCCGCCGACACCCAGAAGAGCTGGCGCGGGTTGAGCGGCAGCCCGGGCAGGCGCGGCTCGGGCCCGTTCTGCTCGGACCACGTGTTGTAGGCGCGGTAGGCCTGCTTGATGCCGCCGTTGTCGGCGATGTTCTCGCCCTGCGTGTTGATGCCGTTCAGCTTGAGGGTCACCTCCTTGGCGGTGTAGTTGCCGTACTGCTCGATGATGCAGCGAGCCTTCTCCAGGTAGCTCTTCTGCACCTCCTTGGCCCACCAGTCCACCAGGTTGCCGTCCTTGTCGAACTGCCGGCCCTGCGAGCAGAGAGCACACCGACCAGAGAGTTAGCCGGCCTCGTCCTCGTGGCGCCCACACTGGCGAAACTCGAGCGTGGTACGTACCTGGTCGTCGAAGCCGTGGGTGATCTCGTGGCCGATGACGAAGCCGATGGCGCCGTAGTTCATGTACCTGGGGCGGTCGCTCTTGAAGAAGGCGCCCTGGAGGATGCCTGCCGGGAACTCTGCGCAACGGAGACATAAAAAGAAATAAATCAGTGTGGGGACAGACATTGGGCAGAGGGACACAGAGTAGCACGCAGAACTGTACGCACGGATGCTGTTCTCGATGGAGCTGTAGAAGGCGTTGACGATGGCGGGCCGCCCGTGCGAGATCCACTCCGTCTTGTTCACCTTCTGGCGCAGCCGGTTGAAGGAGTAGTCCGTGCCGAACTTGGTGAGGTTAAGGATGCTCTCCAGGTACAGGTCGGGGTTCACCTCCAGCTGCGGCAGGACAGAGACAAGGTATTGAATGACAGCTGACTCGGGACACACCGCAGACAGTAGACTGATTCCGAGAGCAGTTTTCGTCGAAGTCGTCGCGGACACCCACCCCCTCGTAGAACTTGTCCAGCTTGGCGTTGTCGAGCAGCTCGTCGGGGTAGGCGATGTGGTTGGTCATGGCGTAGGCCTTGTTGAGCGCCTCCTGCCTGCAAACGCAGAAAGAACCCGTCGTCGAATGGCACGCCGCGCACGCGGCGCCTGGAGGGTGGAGGGTAGGCCGCCCATCCGGCACCGCGAGACAGAGGGGGGGGGGGGGAGGCACTCACCTGGTGGCGTCGTCCATCCACGTGCACGACTTGAGGATCTTGTACATCTCGTCGCGGATGTTGTTGACCATCTCGAGGGCCTCTCGCTTCGAGTCCTCGCGGAAGTAGCGGCGCACGTAGAGCGAGCCGATGGACAGCGACATGCTGCCGCTGGCCAGGTCCACGCACTCCTTCCAGCGGCTCTCGCGCTCCGTGCGCCCGGACAGCGCCGTGTAGAACTTGAGCTGGCGGTCGCGCACCGAGTCGTGCAGGTAGCTGAGCGTGGACGAGCAGGCGCGCCACAGCAGGTAGTTGGCGATGGTCCTCTTGGGCGTGGCGGCCAGCAGCTTCTCCAGCTTGGCGAAGAACTCGGGCACGTCCACGATGATGACCTCGTCGTCGGTCAGGGTGATGGAGGCGGGCAGGATGCGCTGCATGTACTCCTTCCAGGGGATGGACGGGAACCTGGTCTGCAGCTCGCTGATCTTCATGGGGTTGTACAGCTTGGTGGAGTTGCGCCTCTGCTCGTTGGGCAGCGAGATCTGCGGAGGGGTTGCACGTTGTTTATTTGTCATGTGATGCACAAGCCGTGGCTCAGTGGGCCAGAAAACCGGTGGAGGCGGCCAAAATTTTACTCACGTTGGCCATGGCGATCTCGAAGTTGACCACGTCCAGCATGTCCTTCTCGGCGACGGCGCGGTCGGCGCCGAAGATGACGGCGATGTCCGTCTGGTACTTGTAGTACTCCTTGACGAGCTTGTCCTCCAGGCCCTTGTGGAGGTACTCGCGGCTCAGCCCCAGCGAGGCCTGGTCAATCTGTTCCAACAGCCATTTTTCAGTGCCGCGCAATCCGTCGAAACAAAGTCACCTGGAAAAAATGGAAATGGGAGCACTCACGTCGATGACACGGAAGGTGGAGTTCTTGAGATCGATGTTGATGGAGAAGTCGAAGATGTAGTCGACGCTGAAGCCCTCCTTGCGGAACTTGTAGGTGGTCTCCTTCCAGTCGAAGGCCTCCTCGTTCCAGTCCTTCTCCAGCACGGGCCAGCCGCCCAGGACCTTGAGGATCTCCTTGGTGGGCGTGAGGCCGCGCTCCTCCACCAGAGCTGCACGTCAGAGAGGCAAAGCGCGTCAGCCGGCGTTCCGCGAAAACGACGAGGACAACAACAAACCGAACGGCCGCGTCTTGTTTGCGCCGCCCGAGTGCGTGTTAGTGAAGCTTACTCTTGTTCATGCAGGCCTGGTACAGCTTCTTGGCCACGCCGAACGACTTGGGGTCCTTGGCGGTCATGGGCTCCTCGATCACGTTGCGCAGCTGCTCCGTGAGGTCGTCGTTGATCTTGGAGAAGGTGGTGATGGACGTCTTGTCGTCCGGGATGTTGGTGGTGCGGATGAAGTTGCCGCACGCGTACTGGTAGAAGTCGTCGCAGGGGTCCACGTCCAGGTCCATCGTCTTGAGCAGGTACGAGGCTGCGTCAAAAAAAAAATCGGGGTCAGAATCAATATTTTAAAAGGCAGACGGCGCGGCGACGCTACACCCGGTCCAACACAGCTCGGGTTTCACCCAGGCCCAGCTTGATTCATCAGCGTCACACGAAAAAAAAAAAGCTTTTATTTGTCAATACTCCGCGCGCTTAAGAACGGCCATATCACGGCCAGCATTAAAAGTCATTTGGTCAACGAGTATAATCGACGCGGATCAATCTCGCGCCCAATCATCCTCTCCAGCTCGCAAGCCCATCGAGTCGCGCCGCTCTGTCTCTCTCGCACTCCGGGGGCGTTGCGCACTGGTGCGAGAGAGACGCCACCAGCTCGCTCAACACGGCCCCTATTATTGGCCGGGTCACGTGTGCCCCGAGCGGCAACACGCGAATCGCCTCATGCAAATCCAAAAGTCAACGTCTCTGGAAGATTACGGCGCCCAGATTAGTGCATGTGACGCAACGAGAACGAGGATAGGCTTGCCTCGGGCTGCGTCGCTCCGTCTCTCTCCCACTCGTGGCGCGTCCCGAACGGGTGCGAGAGAGACAGAGCGCCGTGTTCCGAACAAATACAGTCATGAGACTAACCTAACCTAACCTAACCTTACAGTCCTAGTCTCATGATACAGTGGTCGATGCGTTTTCGTTGGCCTTACCAGTGTGGATGCAGCCCTCCGTCAGACACACGTCCTTCTCGGAGGCGTCCGCGATGGGCTTGGAGGTGGGGCCGGGTCCCCTGGAGCGGGCGTCAGCGGCGCCTGTGCACCACAGAGCGCGGTCAAACAAGCCCGGCAAGTTGCAACAAAAGGCACGACAAAAATAACTTATTTATGCCTAGAACAAAATTAACAAGAACACGGCATAAGTAAGGCACTGTACGGTTCAAACATGCACTTATACGCATGCAGCAGATTAGTGGATTTAAAAACGAGGACATGTAAATGTACCGAATGTGTGAAATGACCCTGGACCAGTAACCTCACAAATAAATGACAGGTATTCTACAACAAGGATGGACACTGACACCAAAATGAAAAAAAAAATGGGAAAATGGTAGGAAAATTAAACAGCACACATTTTGAAAGTAGTACACTCCACGACCACCCGCAATACCATGCATGCTCATGCCGCGGAGACCGCGAGCGCGAAAAACCACACACGCCATTATGAACGGAAGGCAGAGACGGTAGAGGGAAAGGAGTATACTGCTCGCGACGAAAACGGGGTGAAATGAATTGAAAAAAAAATTAAATAAAAACCTGTTCAAAGTGGCCTTCCGCGGTGCATGCGCGGCGGTACACTGTTAGCATGCAAGAGGTCGGGGCACACCGTAACCATCAAACGAAGCGATCGTTCAGACGTCATGCCTGCCGACTCTGGGCGGTCTAGACAAGAGAGGCCGCACCTCCACCAGAAGTGAGACGCATGCTATACATTGTAATGTGGGTCATGTCCATACGTGTGGCAGGACGCAATCAAGTGCACAGCACTGTCGCGTGCCGCGCAAAAGCCTAGCTACTCCCGGGACCAAACAGAAAAGGAAAAAACACACGCTAAAAAAGGACAGTGGTAAAGAAGTGAATACAGCGGTGTGAAACCAAAAAAATACAAAGTGGTGAATGAAATTCTACTTTCATATTTTAATAAATAAAAATATAATGTGAATGAGATAATAATAATAATGAATCCAACCTCCTGCAGCGGGACTCCTCCTGACTCTGGACAGCGGAGCGCTGGCGTCGGCACCTGTCCAACCTTTGGAGAGAGAAACCCAGATGAATACACTGTGCGAAACACGGTGCGAAATGCCCAACAGTGACAGAGAATCCCGATAATGGTGTGAGAAGCCAAGCTTGCCTAACACACGAACAAACTTGATCCATGAATGCTTCGTTAATGGGCGGATGGCATAAACTAAGGTTTCGGGAGCACTAAAATTGCCAATGGGGTTAAATTAACTCTCGCATTTTACGTAATTCTGAACGACGTGTTAATCGTATTAATCGCTCGTCCAAAATGCACGCAGCAATGTACAGCGGAGCAAACGTGACGAGGAGCGAACGGCTTCTTTATTAATGCATTTTTCCTTCGGGGGATTTAGAAGCGGTAATTTTCAAAGCAAAAGGGGAACGATGTTAGAATTTCAGCAGCAGCGGCATGCAAGCATTTTTTTTTAGCATTCTGTTCTTCTTCATTCTCGTGGGATTTTTTCTTCTGCTTTTCTTAGTGGGGCGGCGAAAAAACGGCGGAGGCGGGCCAAGGCGGGCCCAAGACGCGCGTCGGGCCGCGCCACTGTGCAGTGCGCTTCGCGTAGCCTGCGCGGCACACTGCCAACGGAGCAATGGGTGCGATGCGGCAGCCACTCGCACGCACACACCGTTCTTCTCATTTCATCTGCCAGCCGCTTCCGAACAAAGTGCTTCCGTCTCTCTCGCACCCGCGGGACGCGAGAGAGACGGAGCGACGCTGTTGGGACTTGCCGGCTGTTGGTGTCGGTACCCACACTCGGAAGTGCCGCTCCCAAGTGCAGTGCAGAGCGGCCGCCGTTCTGAGAACCAGGTGAAGACCCACGGCCCGGTCGCGTTTTGGGAGCCCGCCGTGACCTCTCTCCCCCTCTCTCTCCCTCCCACGGGCCGGGGCGCGGGCCGCACGGACGCCCGGCAGGTTGGGCCAGCCCGCGCGACGCGGCAGTGTGGCGGCGCTGCCTACCCAGCACGGCGCTATGGCCGCCGACCAGGCCGCCACACCGGACGAGTGCGTGACGATCCAGACCCGCAGACTGATTCCGAGAGTCGTTTTCATCGCTCTGTCTCTCTCGCACTCATGGGGCGTCCGCTACAGGTGCGAGAGAGACAGAGCGACGGTAACGACTCTCGGAATCAGTCTGGAGTCTGCTCCGAGGCGAAAAGGCAAGCCGTGATGATGAGCACGATGAACACACACAGACGATGGCAGCGTGAAAGCAAATCCTACTCAGTGCGAGGACGAAAGCGGTGTACCCAACACTAAGCAGCCGCAAGGGGCGGGCTGCCGGCTGACAAATGAAACTGTGCGAACAAAGTGTGGGTGGACACACACTGACATGATCAAGCGTTAGACGTTGGCAAATGTGAGTCCACGCTTCTTAAGCATCCTACATCCCCTCGGAAAAATTTTGCCCATCAACAGCTCAAAATTTCAACTATTCCGACTGAAGTTAAGAGAAATGGCGTTGAGACGTGCTCGAGGTGAACGTCTCCAGGTTCCAAATTCCAGCTCCGCGCGCGCCGAATCGGTTGACAGGAGAAGCCTGGGCCTCCACGCGCCGCCACGACTCACACACGTGTCCAGACGTAGACGTGTCTTTCAAGTGAGTAAGTGGCTTCTCTACGCTCAGCCAATTATTCAGTTGTCACGCCCTGCGTCCTTAAGGCCCCGCGGCCCCACGCGTTGCGCTTAAAAAGTAGTCCACTATTATAGACACACTGCGCGGTGGAGCAATTTGGAAAGCGCCGCGCGCGTGATTGCTCTTTCTCTCTCTGCGGACTGATTCCGAGTCGTTTTCGTCGCTCTGTCCCTCTCGCACTCATGGGGCGTGCCGCATGGGTGCGAGAGAGACAGAGCGACGACGTGACGCCAGACTGCCAGACCTGAGTCCTCCGGGACGGAGACGACGGCCAGGGACACCACCAGCGCCACGGACACGCACATGAGGCAGGCCGTGGCCGCCGTCAGCACGCGCTCCAGCCGGCTGCGTCGCTTCCACCACGACGGGTTCCTGCAACAGGCAAAGCATACAGAGTCAAATTTGCTAGAGGGTAAGCGACGCCTCCTGCCGCGAAAGAATGCCGGGCCAAAATGGGATCGAACACCTTCGGAAGCGTGCTTCCAGTGGAGTGTACGAGCGCGCCGCGCCGCACGACACCTTCGACGCGACCAAATACCACTCATCGCCACTCCACTGTACGCCGCCACGCCGCCACACCGTCGCTCGGAATTACCGCGTTGTTTTTCAAGACGAGTCGCTTCGCGGCTTCGCGGCGTCCTCGTCGCACCACTGTGAGGGCCGCCGGGAGCGAGAGAGACGGAGGGGCCGCCGGGACGCCGCCTCGTGGGATAATACTCCGTTCCGCACGTGACCCCGGCCCGGCGCGGCCCGGCCCGGCCGTCCCCGGTGGCCCACACGCGTCTAGGGGCCCGCGTCGGGCTGGTCCAGCGGTTCTCAACCTTTCTCGGCTCGCGACCCCAAATTTGTAGCCAAAAATTTCCGCGACCCCCAGGAAAAGTTTCGCGACCCCACGGGACCCCTCCTTTAGCATGCCACTGCGTCTGATCCGAGGCGGGCATTTTGCTCCCTCAACGGGCAATTGGTCTTTGGACCTTCCTTTAGCATGCCTCTGTTACGGAGTGCGACTATCAGTCTTAGTTTGGGAGCAGTATTGTCTCAAAGTTGGCCAAAACGCTCAGAAATGTCTTTAAAAAATCATGTTTTGGGTCGATTTTAAGCAGCCACTGCGTCTGATCCGAGGCGGGCATTTTGCTCCCTCAACGGGCAATTGTTCCTTGGACCTTCCTTTAGCATGCCTCTGTTACGGAATGCGATTATCAGTCTTAGTTTGGGAGCAGTATTGTCTCAAAGTTGGCCAAAACGCTCAGAAATGTCTTTAAAAAATCATGTTTTTGGGTCGATTTTAAGCAGCCACTGCGTCTGATCCAAGGCGGGCATTTTGCTCCCTCAACGGGCAATTGTTCCTTGGACCTTCCTTTAGCATGCCTCTGTTACGGAATGCGATTATCAGTCTTAGTTTGGGAGCAGTATTGTCTCAAAGTTGGCCAAAACGCTCAGAAATGTCTTTAAAAAATCATGTTTTGGGTCGATTTTAAGCAGCCACTGCGTCTGATCCAAGGCGGGCATTTTGCTCCCTCAACGGGCAATTGGTCTTTGGACCTTCCTTTAGCATGCCTCTGTTACGGAGTGCGATTATCAGTCTTAGTTTGGGAGCAGTATTGTCTCAAAGTTGACCAAAACAGGCACAACGATTTTTCAAATACATTTCTGAGCGTTTCGGCCAACTTTGAGACAATACTGCTCCCAAACTAAGACTGATAATCACACTCCGTAACAAAGGCATGCTAAAAGAAGGTCCAAAGACCAATTGCCTGTTGCGGGAGCAAAATGCCCGCCTTGGATCAGACGCAGTGGCTGCTTAAAATCGACCCAAAACATGATTTTTTAAAGACATTTCTGAGCGTTTTGGCCAACTTTGAGACAATACTGCTCCCAAACTAAGACTGATAATCGCACTCCGTAACAGAGGCATGCTAAAGGAAGGTCCAAAGACCAATTGCCCGTTGAGGGAGCAAAATGCCCGCCTCGGATCAGACGCAGTGGCTGCTTAAAATCGGCCCAAAACACGACCCCAGCTACCTCGCCGCGACCCCTTAAAATTTTTTCGCGACCCCACTTGGGGTCGCGACCCTAAGGTTGAGAACCACTGGGCTGGTCTCTCTCTCTCTGCCTCGCACTCATGGGGCGTCCCATCGGGCGGAGAGAGAGAGAGACCTGCCAGCAGCGCGGCAAACGCACCGAAACGCAATGTCAACGTGTGTGACAATGCCTTGTTAGGCCCACGCGGGTCAGGGCGCTGCCTGCACGGCGCAGCTGCAGCCAAGACGATGGCACTGGCGCCAAGGGGCTGTGGGGACTGGGAGTCCCACGTGAGTGCGGGGGAAAACCCCTGGTCGGAATCAGTGAGCACTGAGACAACTGAGACTTCGACTCTGTACCAGGCTCGCATCCCAGAGTCCACCGGCCGCTCCAGCTCCGCGGCCTCGGTCGTGGGAATGCTGGTGAGGTCGCCGAGGTCCAGCAAGTCCAGCTGTTCGACGTTCCTGCCGGCCAGCTCTGCCTCAGCCAGCAGACGAGAGTCGCTCTGTCTCTCTCGCACTCGCGAGGCGTCCGCTACAGGTGCGAGAGGGACAGAGCGACGAAACCGACTCTCGGAATCAGTCTGCTGAGTGATTGATAGTTGGCAGCACTGCGGCCGGGCCAGGGCGTGACCGGCGTGACCCGGAGGATAAGCGGCAAGTCAAGCCAGGCGGCGGGGCGGCCGCGGGCGGGGCAGCGCGCGTCGCCCTCGCCGCCGCGTATGCGAGAACAATGCCTTGCGGACGTGCCAGGTCTGCCAGGCCGGGGCGCCAACAGAGCCGCGCCCGACCAGCGGTAACGGGACCAGCAGGGCGTCCTGGAGGGCGTCCTGGAGGGCGTCCTGGAGGGCCGCGAGGGCGGTCGGGGAGGACCCGATACAAAGTGAACCGAACTGCCCTTGTGAAGGAGCAGCGCGTCTTACGCGCGACGCCAAACACTGATCATCTCACTCACACTCATGGGGCGTCCCGTAGGCGTGCAAGAGAGACAGAGCTGTGGCGTCGTCTGCTTTACGCGGCGATGGCGATCGGACCAGCCGAACACACGGCGACGCGACGAAGCCCGCTTTCTCCTGCGCCTTAATATTTCCGCCCGATTTTCACGACCCGTCAAATATTTTCAAACGGTACCCGGCGGTACCCGGCGCGTTTAAGTACCTCTCATTGGGACGCGACAGGGCCAGGGCCGCTATGCCGGGGCGGTTCAAGCTGGGCAGCACGGCGACAAAACGGACCGGCCGACCGGGACGCGTCCGAGGCGCGCGTCACCGCCCCGGCGTCGCACCGTGGCCGTGGCGTGGCACCCCTCATGCCTGCAGACTGATTCCGAGAGTCGTTTTCGTCGCCCTGCCTCTCTCATGGGGCGTCCCGTGTGGGTGCGAGAGGGGCAGAGCGACGTAAGTGACTCTCGGAATCACCCTACTGCAGGCGGCCGTCGAAGGCCTGGACTCGCTTGGGACGCAGCGCGCGGCTGGCTGCTCGGTCAGTGACACCTGGGCCGCCACGCCGCCACGCCCGGACAACCCGGACAGCCAGCCCGGACCAGCCCGACCTAATCCTCGTCCACGGCCTCCACGGCCTCCTCGGCGTGCACGACAGCGAGGGTGCGGACAGCCGGGACAAGCCGGGACTTGCATGGCAATGTGTTCCTGAAAGGACGCGCGGCGGAACCGCCTATTAAAAACGAGTCAAAGGCTTGTTCGAAGCGGAGCGGCCGAGCGGCCTAGCGCGTGCCCTGCAGGCTGATTCCGAGAGTCCTTTTCGTCGCCCTGTCTCTCTCGCACCCATAGGGCACGTCCCGTAAGTGCGAGAGAGACAGGGCGACGACAAGGACTGGGCGCGGCAATCCTGTTCCGAGCGGCGCAGCCCAGCCTACCTCACGGCGGGATCTATCCGAACTAGTCGCACCACCACACACGTCGTAGAAATCCGTCAAACTCTTTCCCCCGCGTAAAATGAACTGCCTTCTTTCTTCCGGTTCCTCCTTCGGAGCTACCGTCTTCCTTCCCCGAGTTGAAGGGATCGGAATGTAGTCCATTATTTTTGTCAAATATACAGTCCAACGGTCACCTTTCCGTGTTTCGAATCGGGCACAACGAGAGTCCTCCGTCGAGGAGGATCTCTGGCAGTCGCAGTGCGGCACGGAGCCGCCTCGCCGGTCAGTGGCCGCGCGAGCTTGTTCCTGGGTATTGCGTGTCGATCCAGACAAGTACATGATCGCTGCGCTTGCCGCACTCGGCGGCCGGACCTCTTTCCCCCTTTTTCGCGTTCGCTGATATCCGCTGATACCCGCAGCGCGCATTAGTACCAAGGCCAGTGGCCACCGCGTTTCCCCAATGACCCATTGTGGGGCCCACGACTAGTCATGCACACCCACACCAACACACAACACCCACCCACACTGACACACAACACTCACACAGAGAGAGGCACGGAATAAAGCAAGGCGGGACGTTTGTCGCACGGCAGCGGCACACGACGCGGGGCCTAACACAACGAGCCTTTTGGCCACGGACGACCGCGCACGGGTTCGCGTCGCAAAAGCAGTCACACACAAAAAAAAACCGAACATAAAGTATGTTCTTCCACTCGTTTGGAATGCTACAGTCCGTTAGCTTAAGAATCCTCCATTGTTATGAAGAAATACGCCGGGCACATGACCGTCGCCGAGAGAACGCCTTTTTCGAAGGGTGAACAACGGCTCTCAAGGGGAAAAAAAGAAAAACCTAACTGAGTGTGTAGAATAGCTATTTTGCCGGTGGAACGTTACCCTCGACTGGAACGCTGGAGCGGTGGCGGTTGTTAGCGCCACCGCGTCGCCGCGTCGCGGACGAGCAGCGTCAAAACGCACACGCAAAAAAATGGCGCACGCACGCACACGCGTGAGCGGAAGGCGAAAATGGCAGTCACTTTGGTGCAATTGGACGGCCAAGGGAGCGGCGGCGGTGCCGTGGCGGTGCCCAGCCCAGTGTCGCCAACCACTATTTACAGCGGCCTGGCATCCGGGCCTCATCGCTCTGTCTCTCTCGCACCCCGGGGAACGCCCCGTGAGTGCGAGAGAGACAGAGCGACGTCGCTGTCCGGCGGCCGGCGGGTGTTCCGCGCGGAAGTGGCGGTGCACTGCGAGCGTCCCGCGGCGTCCCGCTGCTCGCTCTGCTGCCTCCGCGTCCTCCGGCGCGTCCGTCCGTCCGTCCTCGTCCACGCCGCGGCACCGCGCAGCAGTGCAGGACCAAGGACGCCACCGGTGCCAACAATTACAAAACCCACTTTGAGTCGAGCAGCTCCCAATCACGCAGCGGAGCGGCCGTAAACCTTTGCAACGCTCGCGGCGTCGCGGCGTCTCTCTCGCAC